ACAATTCAAGAGGAAACTGAACAGGGCCGTGCAGAGACCTTTGGAGGGTCAGGGGCTCAAATTTAAAAAAGGGCATATGGAACAAAAACACCGTACAACAACAAAGCAACAACCTATTTTAATCAAGAGTCTAATTGAATCATACAGTATCATTGCTGTCATGAGGGGAAATGCAAAGCAAATGTCGTCTATTTTCCCCAACGGATATAAAGTTTCTGTTTCTGCTGCTGACAGAGCTGGAGGTCTGAGTTGATCTGAGACTGTAGCTGGTAATCTGACCATCGGAGAGAAGGTCAAAGGTTATGAAGTTATGAAATAAGCAACTTTGCTGCCATTTGACCAATTAAGCCCTAATAACAATAACTGACAGCTGGCTGCAGACTGATTTACAGATCAAAAAAGCTCAAAGGGGTTAAACTTTATATCATTGTTTGATGTTAGAATCTCTGAGATCTAGAAATGTAAGATCTCAGAAAACTCAGTAGCCGCTGGTACGGGCCATTCAGGGGCCTCCAGAAATGGTTGAACACAGACCATACATCTAAACCTGTAGCATCATTTATAGAGAATGACGTTGTTATTAAATTTATTTAGCTGAGAAAGAAAAGTACATTCTGTAAAAGTTTAAAGAATCATCTTGTTAGTTTGATTGTTGTGTTACCATGGCTATAGTATGGTGTGATCTATTTAACTTCTAGAACAACTTGGCTACAGACTGATTTATAGATTAAAAAAGCTCAAAGGGGTTTAACTCCATATACTCTGAGATCTAGAATTATAAGACTGAGATATCAAGGCAAAAAACCTCAGTAGCTGCTGGTACGGGCCATTCAGACATTCAGGGGCCCCAGAAATGGTTTAAATTGTAACACACCATAGAATTAAACCAGTAGCATCATTTATAGAGCATGACAACATTATTTGTTAGAATAATTATGTTTTGTTATCATTCTTACATTTTTAGTTTACAATAGATGTATAATAGATGTATTTTACCAGTAGTCTACATATCATAAATATTAATTCAATATTCTACATTTACAGTCATATTCAATAAATTGGAATATCTGTCCCAATGAGTCTCATTTGTCAGATTAATTGAAAATAACCTCATAGCAGGTATTGAACATACAATTAACATAGTTTTTATTAACTGTAAGTAATTAAAGGCTTTCAAACATCCATCAGTGTGTAATTAATCTATATAATGTGTTTCACTTAGTGACATTGAACTTTATGCCTCTTGTATGTGTGATACAAGTTGGGGGGCAACAATGAAGTTAGAGAAGGGAAGAATATTGAAGCAGAAGCAAAGGATAATAATTGCAATAAAAACTAAAAATATTATCCAACCAAATGAACAAATAGAATACGCTTGAAAACGTGAGTTTTATTTAGAGAGAGGACATGAGCGAGAAGTTATAGCGCCCCCTTGGGGACATGGAGATTTTTTTTTTCTCTTTTGCATCCCCTGCCAGTCCTGTACTGGTCAGTTATGCAGCATAATTCAATACTGCAAGCCTTTCTTATGGTGGCCGATGTACTTTCTGCTTTAATATAATATTATGTGAAGTTTTTCCATGAATCTTAATGTCTCTTTGAAATATCTGAAGTTTACATTTTTTCCATTAGGATAAAAAGGCACAAAAAACCTCTGATATAAACAGAAACGTTCCGTAAGTAGGAAATAAATAAAAATACATTCTAATTTGGATTATTTCTGAGTTATAATCAGTCATGTGACAGCACAGATTGTGTCTCTGTTGTATTCGTAGTTTAAAGAGCTGCTTTCATGTGAAACTCCATCTCAACCTGAACAGACATAAACACCATGGACATGGAGACAGAAACTGAGAGCCATTATTAGACTGAGGGCAGCCAGACTAATTTAGTTTGCTAAATTATTATATTTAGCTAAATATTATTGCTGAGGGGAACAAGCAGGCCTCCTGACATACAGATAAAAATAAAAATAACTTAATATCAACTAAAAAAGGGCAGTAGAGGCATCAAGGAGCAGGGCCTCAAATGTGTTCAATTATCTCTGAACAACCAACAGAATCAGGAGTTTTATCTAAACTATTTTCCAGACCAGCAGAAGTGAAATCAGGAGGATCATTGAGCAACAGTTGATATAAACTGCTGATGTGTGAATTCAAAAGACATTAATAAATAGATTAATAAACACAGAACCAAAGAACATTAGATCTATAATATGAAGATATTTTAGTTTTATAATTGTCCAATATAGTTTCATTTAGTTTAGTTGGATGATTTGATTAATCAGATACTTTTACACATGTTAATTTTCTCACTTTTATTTCAGTTTTACAGCATTTAGACTTTAAGGTTCAGAAATGAAGCAGAAACTCACCAGTAACGTTGAGTCGACATTCTGCAGAGTTGAATCCATCTCCAGTTTTCACGTCACACAGATACAGACCAGAGTCTTCAGTCCTCAGTCTGGACACATGGAGTCTGATTCGTCCTTCTCTGAGGACGTCTTTGTTGCTCTGGACTCGTCCTGAAAACTGATCATCCTGAAACTCTGGAATCTCAACTCCATCACGATAAACATATAATTTCCCTGACTTTACTGCTGTTCTAAATTCACAGATAATGAACAGTTCCCTGGAGGTTCCCTGAGTCTTGGTGGTGAAGGTCCACTCCAGAGTGATGTTCTGCTTCTCCTCTGCCTGATAGCTGCTCTGTGCCACATTCACTACAAATGTTGCTGCTGAGGAGACAGAGAGGGAAAGAGAGGAGCAGACACACTGAGAACTGGAACATGGGAGTCTTTCAGCTCCATCTAGAGAGCTTTCTGTCACAAAGACAAGATGGAGACTGACCACAGAGACATGAGCTGAGGATGAGGAGCAGCAGGATGCTGGACATCATCTTCATCCTGAGAGAGGAAGAGGAGGAGATCATCTTCATCTGGTCAGAAAACTCCTCAAGATTTAGCTGTAAAAAAACAACAAATCTTCTCTTAAGCACCAATAAACAGCCCTGCACTGTTAAAATGTTAAAATAAGCAGAACTTTTCACTTGATGTTAGGAGAGATTTTTATCTGCAGATTGAACTTTTACTACAGATGATTAACATTCACTAAATAAATGTTATTATTGACTTTATGCAATAAAATGCTTTTTGGTTTAAAGAATATTGAATTGTTTCTTCATTGGCGTGTAGTAATGTATTTATAATATTATATTAAACAAGTCAAAATGTTTAAATAAAACATCTGCAGAATATGTCATTTTTTTCATCTGGTTAGTCGTCAGAATAATTTAATAAATCAATTATAGAAAAACATAATTCTTTTACAACAATATTCTTTATTGTCAATACATTGTTGCTCATCTATTATCCTTTAAATGCTTACAGTTGTAAAAACTGTTGGGAAAATACAGGATTATTGAGTTCTTTCAAAATAAATGCTCACATTTTTTCTGTTTTGTTTTTTTCACAAATTGATGTTTATTCATCTTTTTTTTATAAATCTCTAGAAAATAAAAGAAGAAAAATACTTGTTTAATAAAAAAAAGACATTTTACCAGAAGATAAAGTTAGGACACCCTGTCCCATAACAGCTACTGTTAAACCCTTTTATAAAGGACATTTATTCCCATAATGACTAAAAACTGGAAGCAGAAGCTTTATTTGCTTTATTGTTGAGTTTCTCCAAACCTTCAGCTTTAGTGAAGAAGAAAAAATGGGTTTTATTTAGAGACAGAGGAGGTGTGTGTTTTTCAAGTCATCCATCCTCAGGATAAACTGAGACATTGTTTCTACAACCTGTATTATCTTTACTCTCATTCTGAACGTTTGAAACTCAGATCGTCTGCGACCAGATGAAGGTTGTGTTGATAGCGGCTGCTGCAGATTTATGAAACTATCTTTTATATTAATTATTAGTTTATTTGTGCGACTTTATGGACAGGAAGAGGATTATTAAACTACAGAACTAAACTACCTGGATATCAGACTAAGTCTTGATGCACCTGCGTATTTTATTTACACGCAAGTTCATTAAATGTTAGTGTTGTTTTAAGATATAACCGCTATGCTGTGTAAACCCCAGGAGAAAAGGCGGAGAGTTTTCTCTTCCTGGACAATAACGTCACGTACCTTGATCTGCGACGTGCAGCAAACTGATCATCCAGAAGATGAGAACAAATCCCATGACGTTTGTCTGTCTGATAAAGAGCAGATTTCTGATTTTCTTTTCAGTATTTTAATAAAGGTTTGATCAGCACTGAAGCCTCTAAATGACCGAGATGAGATCGAGTCAAAGTGAGTTTGTAGTTTCTCTTTCAGTTTTGTGCATGTGGGCGGAGACAGGTATTCAGCTCAGAGTCCCGGAAGCTTCAAAGCTGTAATATTGTTAAGGAAGTGAGATAACTTCTATAGCTAGACTATATGACTATAGTCCTTTGTTGTAACCTTGGCTATAAAACTGTTATTGATGTAAACATAATTTGTCTTTAAGAAATAAACGACCGAAAAAGTCACGTAAATTGAAAACCACTGCGGCGACGCGCTTCCTCGCGGGGGCGCGCCCAATCTCACCCAACCAGTTCTTGGTACAACACCTGATTGGATAGTTCCTTCTGTCTCCACCTGAGTGTCAGTTCTCGCGAGACTAGAGTCAGAACTACAATTCAGTACCTCTATACTCATGAGTACTTCTATACTTCCGCTTCACACCGGCTCGAAGAAAATACGTGTCTAAAAACCACTAGCATGACGTTGGGGTGATGCTTTTGAAGAAAAACGCTGTTTTAGGAGGAATCGTGGTGATTTTTTGTTTTATTTTTCTGGAGACATTTGGCGGTAAGTAAAGATTTTTTAACCAAGTGTCAGTGAATCAGTTTGGGCTGTTATGATTATCATTTCAACATAAAAAAATCTACCACTACACCTCGAATGTTACATATTTTTAAAAATAATCTGAAGAATGCTATTTAAAATATTTATTCCAGGAAAACATATTTATATGCACATGTAACGGGTATTAAGATGAAATTCTTGCTAAAATATGTTTTGTAATTACCATGTGATGAATGGTTTTTGGCGCCCCCTACTGGTTGCCTATAAATACAAAGCTAAACCGTAAATTCCACGCAGTCTGTTGAGCGCTCTACTGTGGTAAGTCACCAAATCCAGTTCTTTTCTGAATAGTCATAGTAGGTGTGCTCAAAGACTGACGTGGAGTTTTATTGCAGTATGCGGAGAGCTGATGGACCAGTAGTGGAGCTCACTGTACTAATTTGTGTTGACCATTTATTACAGGTAATTATATTATTTATTAGTAAATTATTTTGTCAGTTATGTTTGTCAGTTTTTCTTCAGTTGAGTTGTCGGTTTGTCTGTTGTATTGTCGGTTTGCTGTATTTACCAGCTTGTCAGTTTGTTTGTTCCCTGTTTCAGTTAGAATTTACTGTTAAATAGTTTATTAATTAAATTTGACTGTTGTCTGTCTATTTTTTTTTCTTTATTTATAGGAAATAGACCAGATTGTGTTAAATTAATTTTAAAGAAGTATTAATAATCAAATATCACTATACGATCATTTGTTAGAAAAATATGTTGTTAAGCCAGATTGTAATGATTGTTTGTGACGCAGTCTGTTGAGCGCTCTACTGTGTATGCGGAGAGCTGATGGACCAGTAGTGGAGATCACTGTACTAATTTGTGTTGACCATTTATTACAGTTATTACAGAAAATTCAACCAACTGGCCTCCTCTGTGTGTATGACGGGACGGGCATAAAGGGGAAGCTGTTACACACACACATAACCTCTTCCTAAGAAATGTTATTAGACTTTTTAACATTTAATATTAAAAACTCTAGTAACAAGGAGGGAATAACATTAGATCTAGTATCTAATGTTACTACATACTGGTATCTAGTGACATTACTAGACATGATATGTGCCACATGTATGTAATATTTAACATTAAAAAATGTCTCTTAATTTTGGTGAATTGTTAATTTATTTGACTCAACATAATATTTATTGATCCCAACTTAAATGTTGTTGTAACTCATAACTTCCTATAACTTTTACTTTTAATATAACTCATTAATGACTTCATGTTTCAGTTTGTTTTTCCTTTGACTGGCTGCTAATAACAGGACAAACTGGTTGTCTTTGACAAAATGGCCGCTCTGCTTCCTCCTCCATATTAAACTAATTTGCTTTTTGTACAGTCAAAACATCTCAGGCCACATATTGAACTTGGCTTGAATAAAACAAAATACAACAATGTTTTAAAAGGTTTTTATTTACAAGAGTGAAAGCTTAACATCAGTTCACATTAAACATTAAAAAACATTTATTGATTCAATAAACAAAGAATGGAAAACAGTAAAAAATAATAATTTTTCTAATTTCTTTGGTTTAGAGGATCATGTTTCCTAGTAATGTAAAAATGGCTGCCAGTCAGTTTGCTCAATCAACTCACAGTCTGTTTCGTTCCTCCATACAAACTCATTAGTACTTAAACTAATTCTTCATATTTTCAGATTCTACCTAAAAATCCCACTAATCATCTTGATCAGCATCCACTGTGTCTGTGGATTCACAGCATCATTGGTCCACAGAGGTGCTGGTCCCTGTGAACCACAGAGACCATTTCTTGCTTCACGGAGCATTAAATAGTTCATGCATGAAATGAATGAATATAATAACTCTGAATGTTGGATGATGAATGCTGGAAAACAACATCTCAGATGTTTTTTCAAGTAAACAAATAAATTCTCTCCTATCATAAACATTTTGTGTTCCTGTGTCACATTTTCTTCTAAAAATCTGTTAAATGTCAGAAAGTCCAAGGTAGCAGAAAATTTTACAGTTTAGGATGTGTTTGCTTTTTTTCTGTTTTCTGATAATAAAAATCTGCTCTCATTTACATTTGTTAACTTTCTTGTCACCAGGAAGTCAAAACAACAAAATCATCTAAAATTAACATTAATTTTCTGCTCATCAACACAATTTAATTTGCTGATTTCATGATTCAAAGACAGTTTCACTGTTTGCTGGTAAAACCTACACAGAAATAAACAACATAAAAATGTAAAAACTCATGATATATGCCCTGCATTAAGAGTTCAAACTGTTAAAACAAGAGATGGACGTGATTAAAGTTTAATAATCATAATAACTTTATGCATAAAATTTGACTTTTTACATATTTAATGTGACAACAGCCGTTTATCTTCCAACTAGAAGATGAACAGATCTGATTCTGAGGACAGTCATGTTTCACATTATCCATCAAGGAGGGATCAATAATATCCCCAATAAAGATTATGATTGATCAGAAAATATTCTGACTCCTGCAACAGACTGCTGATCTTTCCAGGTGACCTTTCCAGGTGACCCCGTCTCTCACCTGAAATGTCTGGTGGAGATGGACACCAGGACCTCCTGACCCCACGAGGGACAAGGTGTTAGAAAATGGATGGATATTTTGACTTCACCACTAGATGGCGCTCTAGAGTTTTACTGTCTGAGATGACTGCCGAAGGAGGAACAGCTTATCCTGCTCTCTCTCGTCCTTACTGATAACTCTGCCTGTGAATTATTTTTAATTTTAAGGCGACAGTTTTTATAGTTATTTTTACATTATTGACATCTTAACTGGATTACTCCAAACTTAAGGACTGGGGGATTTGCTGACTTTTATTTTTAACCTTACTTTTCTTTGCCTCCAAGTTAAAAATGCCTCCGGCTGACCCCAAGGACATGAGCAATATTTTACAACAACTTCAGTTTATAGAAATGAAGATTAAACTACTGGAGGTGAACTTTGAGATCAACGCTACTTGTGGAAATGAAACAACTCTTCCTCAAATCAACGGAGAGGTCGTGCGCCCTGCACCGAGCAGCTCACCCTGGAACGCTCTGGTGCCAAGCCGAAACGGGAGTCTCGCACTGCGGATCCGATGAGACGATTATCAGGGAGAACCCCGCACCTGGACGAATCAGCGTGGCCGGCTCTGAGCCGAAACCCACCTTCAACTTCAACACCTGCTCCGCCAAAGAAAGACAAACAAGCAGCTGCAACCAAAACGCCTCCACCGACCCCACGGACAAAGCAACCAGCAAGAGCCTCAAAACATTCTGACTCTGTGGGAATCCCACTGAAAAACAGATTTTCTGCACTCCAGCCTGAGCCTCTGAGTGAAACTTCGCCTTCAAACATCAACAGTGAGGCACGACCAACACATCGATCCCCCAAAGCTCCCAAGGACAAAGCGACCACCAGGAAAACTAAAGGTAACCCAAAAGTGCTTGTTGTTGGAGATGAGGCAGTAAAGGGAATCAGTGACGTTTGCAATCCAAGGAAAACAAGAGTGATGTGTTTTCCTGGTGACACTGTATCTGATTTAACCAACAAACTGCTCTCTCTAACCACTGATCAGCCAGATATTCAGACTTTAGTTGTGCATGTTGGAGCCAACGATCTGGCAAAGCAAAAGTCTGAGATTCTAAAAAAGGACTTTAACATTCTTCTGGACACTATGGGAAAACTGAGAATGAAGTTATTTCTCAGTGGTCCAATTCCATCACCTCAATGGGGAGACGAAAAACACTCCAGGCTGCTCACGATCAACAAATGGCTGATTAAAACCTGCTCTACCAGCTCAGTGACCTTCATGATAACCTCTGGATCTATTGGCAGCGCTTTCTCCTTTTTGGAAGAGGAGGACGCAATCTTAATAAACATGGGATAAAGCTACTCACTGCAAACCTTTTTTATTTTATCAACAAGGACAGCAACAGGATCATCATGTCAGAAGAACAGGCTCAAGGATGTCTGACCAGGATGGAACGCTCCCCGGATCAGGAGCACAATATTCCAAAACAAGCTGATAAATCGACTGGAGACGGAGCGACTGCTTCCCTCGCTCCTTCCCCCCTCCCTCTCTGCTCCTCCAATCATTCACAGGATTCAATGGATACCAATGAAGAAATGTCTTCCGGACCAGAGTTTCTTAAATTTACAGATGGACTGAATCAACAGGTTCTCCTCGGCACGTCTCTCCTTAGCACTCACGTAGCAGACATCACTACATTTAAGCAACCTGCCCCTGACTTTCCAGAGGATCCATCACTCTGCGTTTCTGAGGTCTGAGGCCGGGGACCAGATATTATCTTTACACCCGTCTTCCTCCAGAATGCATCTGGCCCCCTGGAAATGCAGAACAGGACATTACCTGTCCGGATCACTACAAGAAAATTTACAAAAAATAGAAAAATGAAATACAGCGGTCCTAATTCAAACCTCAGAGTGATCCCCTGCCTAAAGGAACCTCAGACTGAAAATCTTCTGGCCTCTAAGCCACTTAAAGTAGCTCTTTTAAATATCAGATCACTCTGTGCTAAAGCTCTGTTAATTAATGATTTCATCACTGAGTATAATGTTGATGTTATGTTTCTGACAGAAACATGGTTGAATGACGATAATGACCAAATTGTACTCATTGAATCAGCGCCTCCTGACTACAATTTTTTAAGTGAGAATAGAAAACATAAAAAAGGAGGAGGCGTGGCTTCTATATTTAAAAATACCATAAACTGTAGTAAAATCTCTTTCGGTCATTTCACATCTTTTGAGTATCTTGGAATTCAGGTTAAAGGCTTCAAACGAACTTTGACACTAACTTTATACAAAACTCCAGCATATGTGGAAAATTTCTTTACTGACTTGAATGATCTTCTTTCTCTCATATGCATTGATTATGATTGTTTAATAATTGTTGGTGATTTTAACATTCATGTGGACAAACCCGAAAACAGAGGAGCAAAAAAGCTCTCTGATATTTTAGAAAATTTTGGTTTAACACAACATATTAAACAAGCAACACACACTCAAGGACACACACTGGACCTGGTTATCAGTAAGGGTGTGAATATTTCCAATGTCTCTGTAACTGATGTCGCCCTGTCAGATCACTTTGCTGTTATCTTTGAAGGTTCTTTATTCTTTGACCCACTTGGACAAACAGCTACTGTCACAAAACGTTCTTTCACAGAAAACACAGCAGAAACATTAATCAAATCTACTCTTCCTCCTCACCCTTAAGCTGTAATGATGTAGATCAGTTGGTAGATGATTTTCAGTCTAAAGTTTCATATATCATTGATTCCATTGCCCCAATTAAAGTAAAGGTTTTGACTGGTAGAAAGAAATCTCCATGGAGAAATGCACAAATAGTTCGGTCTGCAAGACAAGTCTGCCGCAGGGCAGAACGACAATGGCGTAAAACTCAACTTCACGTTCATAATGACATCTACAAAGAAAAACTACGTAACTATCACTTAACACTAAAACATGGAAGGGAGGCTTTCTTTGCAGATGTCATAAAGAAAACATCAATAATGCTCGAACTTTATTTGCAACAGTTGACAGGCTCACAAACCCTCCTGTGACGTTACCACCTGAAATCCAATCTAATGCTGCCTGTAATACGTTTTCTGATTTCTTTTCAGAGAAAATCCAAAAAATGGATTAATCTGCACATCAACTTCAAAGCCAGAACCATTGCTGTACCAAAACAAAACAAATACAGAAAAAATGACCCATTTTCAACTACTTAATTATAAAACTCTAGAAGAAATTATAAGTCAATTAAGTTCAAGCTCCTGCTGTCTGGATGTCCTTCCCACACATTTCTTTAAGAAAGTCCTGCCTGTTATTGCTACTGATCTGATCCAAATCGTAAACTCATCGCTTACATCAGGTGTTTTTCCCCAGGCCTTGAAAACAGCAGTCATCAAACCACTGTTAAAAAAGAACAACCTGGACAAATCACTATTGCAGAATTACAGGCCAATCTCAAACCTCCCATTCATCAGCAAAGTTATTGAAAAAACTGTGTGTAAACAATTAAATAGTTTCCTCATGATGACCAACTGCTTTGACACTTTCCAGTCTGGTTTTCGTGCTCACCACAGCACGGAGACTGCCCTCGTAAAAGTATTCAATGATATCCATATAAATACGGACTGTGGGAGAACCACGGTGCTGGTTCTGTTGGATCTCAGTGCAGCTTTTGACACTGTCGACCATGACATATTACTGAATCGACTTGAAAGTTGGGTTGGACTCTCTGGTTCGGTGCTCGACTGGTTTGAATCCTACATAAAGAACAGGGATTTCTTTGTTTCAATTGGAAACTTCTCATCAAAGAGGTCAAAGGTCACATGTGGGGTACCCCAAGGTTCAATCCTAGGACCCCTCTTATTTAATATTTATATTCTCCCACTAGCTCAGGTCATAACAGGAAATAATATTAGCTACCACAACTATGCGGATGACACACAGCTCTACATTACGATGTCACCAGGTGACTCTGAACCCATCCAATCACTGAATAAATGCTTAGAACAGATAAATGTGTGGATGTGCCAAAACTTTCTCCAACTGAACAAAAATAAAACTGAAGTCATTATTTTTGGACCTAAAGAGGAACGATCTAAAGTCAATGCACAGCTTCAGTTATTACAACTAAAAACTAGCGATCAGGCCCGAAACCTGGGAGTAGTGATGGACTCGGACTTGAACCTCCAGAGCCACATAAAGACAGTAACAAAATCGGCCTTCTATCACCTGAAGACATCTCCAGGATTAGAGGACTAATGTCTCAGCCAGATCTAGAGAAACTCATTCATGCGTTTGTCTTTAGTCGCATTGATTATTGCAACAGCATCTTCACAGGCCTGTCCAACAAATCAATCAAACAGCTGCAACTGATCCAGAATGCTGCTGCTCGCGTTCTCACTAGAACCAGGAAGATAGAGACATAACACCAGTTTTAAAGTCCCTCCACTGGCTCCCTGTAGCTCAAAGAATAGATTTTAAAATACTCTTGTTAGTTTACAAATCACTGAACGGTTTAGCACCACAATACATCAAAGATCTGCTGTTGTTGTATCAACCTTCCAGACTCTCAGGTCTTCTGGTTCTGGTCTGCTCTGCATCCCCAGAACCAGAACCAAGAGAGGAGAAGCAGCTTTCAGCATCTATGCACCAAAACTTTGGAACAAACTTCCAGAAAACTGTAAAACAGCGGAAACCCTGACTTCCTTCAAATCTCAAGTAAAAACGCACCTGTTTAGAGTTGCATTTGAAATGTAATATGTATTCTATGTTGCATGCCTTCGTGTTTTGTGTTTATGATGTAAAGCACTTTGAAATGCCTTGTAGCTGAAATGTGCTATACAAATAAAATTTGATTGATTGATTGATTGATTGATTTGAGTCACACAGTAAAAGTTCACCAGACAAAATGTAAATAATATCAGATTCTGTTAGATATGATATATATTATTTACAAAAGTCAACAAATGAATAAAACATGTTTCTTAAAATAAGATATTTAGTGTTTAGTATAAAGAATAAAGAGCTCAGTTTTATTCAGTCTATAACTTTGCAGCAGCCATTTATTCCTACATTAATCAGCCATATTAAGACTCAGTTCAATGAATTATAAAAAGTCTCATTGGTTTGATAATATAAATGTCAGTGCAAATGGACTTTTCTCAATATGAACAGAACTTTGGCCCAGAGTTAGATAAAGTTCAGTGACTCTGATTCACTTCATCATAAATCAGGTTTTCTCAGCCTGGGACTTTAAAACTCCTTGTCCTGCATTTTCTCCCTGCTTCCGTTTTCCTGACTCAAATGAACAAGTGATTCATTGATTCACCAGGCTGAAGAAGCTCCAAGCCTCCACTGGGTTCAGTGTTGGTGGAAGAGACATTTCTTTATGTCCCCCATGCTGACTCAGCGCCACCATGTGGCTAATTATAAACACAGTCTTTATTCTTACCAGATCATAATTCATATTCATCAACAAAACTTCTCTACCTTCCTCAAGCTTAGTGTCTGTAATGAAAAGTCACTAAACTGACTTAAAGTTAGAATAATATCTGTTGTTTCTATGATCCTATTTATAAAGTAATTGGTCAATTTCTAATTTTCTTTTCCTATTTTATGTTAATAAATGACCCTAAGAATATATTTTAATAACAATCTTACATAATATGCTTATAAAGAAATAAAGCATCAAAATGTTATTTTTTACATTCACTGTATGATGATGTACATAGAAATATTCAGGTTATTTGTTCCTATGTGAATGTTTCAGTTTTAAGGAGGGAATAATAAATATACAGAACTACTGGAGATGGAAGAAAAGATGAACGAATGAATTAAAAACCTGGACAGCAAGAGACTAAAATTATAATAAAATACAGAAAAAAATAAAATAAAAAATAAGATTCACTGACAGAAATTAAATTAAAACCTTTTGAAGGAACAAGCTGGAGATCAAGTCTGTCAACTTTTGCATGAATTAAAAAAACTTTTCAAGACAAATAATTTATAAAAACCTGAGTAAGAAACTAAACTACAGAAACATCTTTGGACTTGAGATGTTCTTTAACTTACAGGATTCTTGTTTCATTTATTAAATCTCAAATAAAGATTATTAATATGAATAACTTCCTTCTGGGTTTAATGCATTCAGTTTCTTATATTATTATCCACATTTCTATTCTTGTAACAGTTTTCATACCAAATGTTTGAAGAGACTTTAGATCAGGTGGAAGATTCAGACTCTTTAGTTTTGTCCCAGATCCTGTAAAGGTATTTCTACTTCAGCTTCATTTCCTGGGTCGACATTTTCTCTGCAATCTATGAAACACAAAACATTTTATTAATAACATCATCTGATTGTTTGACATCCCAAAGTTACATTATTATTAAGATGACTTGAAGAAAAACAGAATTGTGTTTTTCTCAAACTGTCATTTTAGTTTTTGTAAATAAAATTATCATCAATCAGCAAAAAATAAAATAAAGCATTAAAGTTTTGACTTTTTCTGAAATTATTTGTTTCCAGATGTTTGTTGACAAAAATAAAACAATCCAAAAACCAAAGCATATTACAATAAAATGTAAACATGTTCATATTAAACTGAATATTTAATGTATATTCAGATGTCAGATTAAAAGAATATAACTTTAATGAAGGCAGAAGAAATGTCTCTCATTAAGCTCTAATTATAATCTTAAACATGATTTATTAGCTATCAGCTTCTCTGTTGAAGAAAACACAACAAAGAAGAGAAAATCTGAGTTATGTGCAGCAAATAATAGTTTAATTTGTAGCATTTTATGAATGAATGTTTTCTGGCTGTTTCTCTTTAGTGCGTCTGGATCCACAGGTTGGACCCTCTGGTCTAAACCTTCATATCCTGTTCAGGTCAGTGGGAATACTGGTGAGCCATGATGAACCCAGTCAGGTCACCAGTTCATTGCTGCTACATCAATGATCTAATATCTAGTCAGTCACATTCAGTCACTAACAAGGAAGTTCAGCTTCCTGGTTTAATGCTCAGCTGTGATGTTCAGTGACTGCAGCAACACAAACACATTCATACATCTATATGAAGTAACTGCTTAGTTTATCACTGAGCAGGAAAATAAAACAGTAAATAATTAACATAAGTTATTAATCTGGAATGGTTTCATTTCCATACCTTCATCATTTCTCAGTTGTTCATGTTGAGAGTTTTTGCTCCAGCATGGAAAAACTGTAAACAGTGAATATTTATCTTAACACACAATATAAATGAGGCGACAATATTTAATTCTCCTTATCAGTTTTAACTGGTAAAAATGTTTCATCAACCTGATCAGACAGAAAAGCTACAATAAATAACAAAGACCAAAAGAGAAAAGGAAACTCATAATGGTTTAGTTTCTTGTTTTGTTTTCTTTTCCATCAAACATCAATAGATATTGATAAATATATGAAAGCTTCATTACTTTCTTTTTCATGTTTATCAAGAGTTTTACTTTTCTTCAGCTTCAGATCAGTTTTTGCAAACTGTTAAAAATTATATTTTCTATCAATTTGAAATATGCATCTAGGGAGATAATCATTAATTTAACAAAATCCTGCATGACTTAAAAAGACAATGACTGACTTACTTTGTCTACGTTTCCAATAACATACACTGATGATGATGATGATGATGGCTGGTATTCCAAGTCCCAGTCCAAGTTTATTATTAAGATAAGTTCCTGTGACAAAAAGGAAAAACAGGCTTTGTACATTCCTATTTTGTAAATAATTCTCTTTTGCTCATAATTGTTTTATTTGTAGGTCAATCATTGTTCATATCAAACAGTTTATACAGAAACTTTTAAGCTTTTTACTCATTTTCTGACAGTGAACTTGAGAGATAAATTTAATCAAGACACTCTTAACATTTTTATTATCTTCATTTACAGCTTAAAAAGAACAATATAAAATAAAGTATGTAAAACATAAACGGACTGAATTTTCAGTCATGTTGACGTCTCAAAGCTCCACACTGCAGACACATTCACCAATTCTCTCTCAGTAACACACACACACACACACACACACACGCACTCACACACACACCCCCCCCACACACACACACACCCACACACACACACGCACTCACACACACATGCACACACACACACCCCCCACACACACGCACTCAACCCCCCCCCCCACACACACACGCACACGCACACACACACACGCACTCACAGTTTTAAGGGTGCCCAAGCCCACACACACACCCCACATACACACACACACACTCACACACACACACACACACACACACACACACACGCACACACACACACACACACACACACACACACACACACACACACACACACGCACACACACACACACGCACTCACACACACACACACACAACACACACACACATACACACACACACACACACACCCCACATACACACACACGCACACAGTCATACACCTGTATGCAGATCAATAGGTATTTAGGAGTTATCTGCCTTGCCCAAGGGCACATCAACATGTGACAAGGAGAAACTGGAAGACAACAACTGTATCCACTGAGTCACAGTCGCCAGTAATAACTGATTATCAGTAGTTTGGATATTTACCTCCAGATCTTTTCTCGGGGTTTTCATGTTCATTTCCATCAACTGTTGAGGAATCACATAAAGTCTTAAATATTTATACATTTTTATATACTTTACCATAAATGATTCTGATTGAGTAAAGCTCACCAACAACCAGAATAACATTTCTTTCTTCTGTCTTATCCTGACCAGGCAGATAGTGAATGCATGTGTAAATCCCTGCATCGTTCTTAGTTACGTTGGTCAGCTTGATGGAAAGGTGTCCGTGTTCAAGCATTGTATGGTTGAGATGGATTCGACCTTTGTATCTTTTGTGTTGAAGATTTGAGTGATCAGCTCCACTGCGATAGAAGTGTACAGTATCACTGGAGTTGAACTTCCACTTGATTATAGCGTTGCTCGCGTTAAGCTCCACTTGGCATGGTAGAAGAACGTTGGATCCCACAAATGCCTTTATTTGGTTTCCTGGAAAAATAAACAATGCTTTTAAAATGACTGCACTTCTGATGATGTCTGGTTTGTTGCTCACCTATTATCCTTGAAATGCTTACAGTTGTGAAAACTGTAGGAAAACACAATATTATTGAGTTCTTTCCAAACAAATGCTCACATTTTTCTGTTTTGTTTTTGTTTGTTCACAAATTGATGTCTAGTCTTTTTTTTTATCCATCTCTAGAAAACAAAACAAGAAAATGTTAAACCCTGTTATAAAGGACATGTATTTTCCATAATTGCTAAAAACTGGAAACAGAGGTTTTATTTGTTTTATTGTTCAGAGTTTCTCCAAACCTTCAACCTTTGTGTAACGGGTATTAAGATGAAATTCTTGCTAAAATATGTTTTGTAATTACCATGTGATGAATGGTTTTTGGCGCCCCCTACTGGTTGCCTATAAATACAAAGCTAAACCGTAAATTCCACGCAGTCTGTTGAGCACTCTACTGTGGTAAGTCACCAAATCCAGTTCTTTTCTGAATAGTTATAGTAGGTGTGCTCAAAGACTGACGTGGAGTTTTATTGCAGTATGCGGAGAGCTGATGGACCAGTAGTGGAGCTCACTGTACTAATTTGTGTTGACCATTTATTACAGGTAATTATATTATATTATTTATTAGTAAATTATTTTGTCAGTTATGTTTGTCAGTTTTTCTTCAGTTGAGTTGTCGGTTTGTCTGTTGTATTGTCGGTTTGCTGTATTTACCAGCTTGTCAGTTTGTTTGTTCCCTGTTTCAGTTAGAAGTTACTGTTAATTAGTTTATTAGTTAAATTTGATTGTTGTCTGTCTATTTTTTTTCTTTATTTATAGGAAATAGACCAGATTGTGTTAAATTAATTTTAAAGAAGTATTAATAATCAAATATCACTATACGATCATTTGTTAGAAAAATATGTTGTTAAGCCAGATTGTAATGATTGTTTGTGACGCAGTCTGTTGAGCGCTCTACTGTGTATGCGGAGAGCTGATGGACCAGTAGTGGAGATCACTGTACTAATTTGTGTTGACCATTTATTACAGCTATTACAGAAAATTCAACCAACTGGCCTCCTCTGTGTGTATGACGGGACGGGCATAAAGGGGAAGCTGTTACATTGGTGCCATGACCTTGGACTACAATCAAGCTCGTCGAACCTGTGACCGTCCTGTCTGCCACATCGGGTTTTGAATACATTTATTCACATTGTGTATAGTTTCATGTTCACAGTAACATTTCAGGACAGTGAAAAGACGTTGCTGTACACTTAAACCTTTATGGAGCATTAGAGTAATATACTATGCAAATTGTTCTGACTTATTTTGTTTATTATTTGTTTATTCCAAATTGATGATTTTATTTCCTATTGTGTTTTGGATTTTGAATATCTTTCCACTTGTTAAACTCCATGAACAATGTCTAATCAAAGTAACCACTTTTGGTTCAGCACACCCATTAGTTTTGGAAGAGGAAGAGGTGTGCTTGCTCCCATTCCTTTTTCTGTTGATAGTCCTGCTCCTGGTGGTCTTATGCCCTCATTAGATGAAATTCCTAGTGCTAGAGTCCATAATCCTACTAGTGACAGTTCTGAATGTGTAACTGCACAGATGAAATCTGTTTTACAAGAGATAGGACATCAGCTGGCTGACAGCATCATTTCACGCATACAGCCACATATCACAGTTTCTCCCAGTTCTACAGCCACACACACTGCAGGGAGTACTGTGTGTCAGTCTGGTTGTGTATCTGATGTATCCCAGGTTCAGGTTGTCATGCAGAGAAAGGTCAAAGAACCTCCATGTTTTGCAGGTAATGGCTCAGACTCCATTACAGTGCATGATTGGGAAGATCAGATGAGAACATTCATTAGGAAAACTGATGTTAAGATTGAAGAGCAGGCTGAGGAAATTCTTATGCATCTAAGGGGAAAGGCTAAGGATGTAGTTAAGTTTGGGATTAGAAATAGTAACATTAACATCACTGCTCATCCTGACATGATTTATAGTCTCCTCAGAAAACACTTCAGCTCTTCTAAATACTCTGCTGTCCCCTTAGCTGACTTTTACTCGACCTTGCCCAAAGACCACGAAGACCCATATGACTACTGGCTGAGACTAAACAGAGCAGCTGACCTTGCTTCTGACTGCCTGAGAGAGCAGGGCAAATCATTTGAAATCCTGAGATGGAGGTGACACGTATGTTTATTAGGAATTGTCCCTGTAAAGACCTGGCTCTCACTTTCAGATCCAAAACTATTGACAGGTGGTCAGCATGTGAAGTCCTGGAGGTGCTGAATCAGTACCATGCTGAGATGAGCTGTAAAGAAACTTTCCCAGTGCGCCACGAGAAGACAGTAGACATTAAAGTGCACAAAGCAGAAGTGGGCCATGGCTTGATCCCTACACATAACAGTCAGGAGTACCCCAGACACATAGCGCTCAGTATGTCTCCCTGACAGATGTAATGTCGATGTTAGAGAAGGTTCTGCTACATGGAGCTTCTAATCAGCCACATGAAAGAAGGCGAATTCCACCCAGGCGACCTGTAGACAATGCAGACATAATAAATGGTTTCACTATTAAACCATGCATTATTTGCAAAGCTGATGACCACAGTGCCTTGTCACATTGCAGAGAAAATAGGCTTGTTTCAAGTGTTATGCTCCAGGTCATTCACGCCACAACTGCCCAACTAAAAGAGCTGCCCCAGAGCATCAGGAAAACTGACTGGTCTGCACACAAGGGAGGACAGTGCAGATGAACTCAATAAGCCTCCCACTAAAAATGAGTCTCCAGAAATTCAAGATAATGCATCCCTCTTTGAGTTATACAGTAGTACATTGACCTCATCCAAGAAACCGATATTCCAGGGATCCCAAAGAATAGCAGAAACTAACAACCTGTTTCTACACACCTGTGTCTGTACAGAATGGCCCCACCCTCAAAGCACTATTAGACAGTGGTTCAATGGCTTATACAATAAGTGAGTCCTCTGTTCAATCCCTTTTACAGCAGTGTCCTGATATAACGAAAGGCACAGCTGAAGACTATGTGATTATAGGCTGTGGTGGACAGCAGATTTTCCCCAAAGACATGTATGACCTTGATGTCATGGTTTATGGATGCAGGATGATAATTCCAACAATGGTTGTTCCAGGACAGA